TTACCAAGTGTCACCAGTTGATTTTAAAAAAACGTCAAAAGTCCCACCCACTCATGTGAATTATTTTCATACGAAATCATTTGTCATTTGGTTTACCTAACTGCGAGGGCGGTAAGGGTTATTTTTTTACATTACAATTAGCGTGATGAGGGTTACGACCTAGATTTCACGTGGTTAAGAATATATAAAGAGTATATGGCATTGCGTATGAACATTTTTTCGTTTAATGTTCTACATCTCCTATTCAACTTCACCCGTTAATACGCTGGTTCAACCCTAACGCGCGTTAAGCGCAGTACCGGAGAGTGTAGCGCTGTCGCAGCGTAAAAGTATCGTTGCAACCTCGCGGTTGACCTACAAAGGGAAGAAGGAGAGAAAAAGAGAAGAAAATGTAAGATAAAAATAATAAAAGAATATAGAAAGCAAAGAAACATTCATCCGAGTGGGATGGTCATATAATACGTGAACGGAATTTCGCTAAGCGGTGTGCTGGAAAAAAGTCATTTTTCTGGCTAGGTACCTGCTAATGCAAGTTCGACGGGATGTTCCTGAGCTAACAGTTGTAGGGATCGGAAGCTCGGTTGCTGTGAAAGCTTAAAGGCTATAAAACGCCTTTTAGTGTGCTGACAAAGACAAGACATGTTTTGAACAGGACTTAGGAAAAAAAAAAATGACGCAATGTTTTACTTTCCAAGTTACACTCACAGTTTTTTACGCTACTGAGACAATATTTTTTCTTAATGTATTAATAATGAGTGGTTTGATTTTTCCATAAGGTTACTTTGTCTAAGGACAAAGTCTTATTGGACTTTGTTTTGTTCCTAGTTTTTACATATTGCAATTAATATCCTGGAATTCTCATGGAGCCTGGAAGAATCTTTGTGGTAGTTAATAATATCGAGGTATAGATACATGTTAGATAGGTACCTACATTAAATGGTTTATGTGGCATAATTTTTTCCTTTAGATTTTGAGATTAAACGATATATTGATTACTTGAATTATATTGCTGCTCACGTGAATCCTAAGATATTATGGACTTTGAGTCTATTGAATATATGTATTAGGTTGGCCCGAAAATAATTGCGGTTTTAATGTCCTTAATTTTATAAAATATTCTATTATACATATATATTATTTCTTTCTATGTTGATTATTATATATTATTTTCATGCCTATTTCGTGATTTTACCTTATTGTGTTACTCGTGTTTATCGGCCATATTATTTTTGCTAAGTTCCAGGCCGTTGACAAAAAAAAAGATGGAAAAACAGGATTTTAGAAAGATTTTTTTTCTATGAGTTCAAGCTTGGTAAAAGTACAACGCAGACAGCTCGAAGTGTTGAGAGAGGGAAGCACTAACGAACATATAGTCCAACATTGGTTCAAAAATTCCGTAACGGAAACTTTAGTCCTGAAGATCATGAAGGTCGCGGACGATACTGTTTGGTGGACGATGACCGATTGAAGGTTTTAGTAGAATTCAATTCACGTAAGACAAGTTAGGATCTTGCAAAAGAGTTAGGAGTGGGTAAAGTAACGATCGAAGTATATCTGAAAAAAATAGGAGATAAAAAAGGTCGACAAATGGATCCCCCACGAATTGAAGATAACAGTAATTATTTTCGGGCCGACCTGCTAGATACCACTAAGTTTTCTTGATACTTGATCACATTTAATCACCGTTGTAAAAAACAGCAAGAATAAAGACTTCTTCCCGTTTTTACTCCTTCATTAATATTGCCGTTCATTAACGTACGACGATCAAGTAAAATTTCGTCTTATTATAAATATTCAATTAGTTAAATTTTATAGGATCGGAATGGATGCTCATTTTGATACATTTTGATACAATGAGTATATAGCAGGATCCATATGTACTGTAATAGGTATGGCGTATGCATGTAGCGTATAATAGTATACTCTCTTTGATTTTGTCAGGTGGCGGGAATTTCAAAATATTTCATTTGCCAGAAGCGACATTCTAATCTGTCTATCTCACAATTGGATCTTTATCACGTTACAACACTTCACACAAGCCCTCCGGGTAGACAGGGTAGGTTGTATCTACCTGCAAACTTTACCCCAAGCCACAGAGGACAAGGAATAATTGGATATACGGGAAAATCAAAGGGAACTGCCGGATGCCATAAAGGACACTCATATTTGAAAAAAAAAATTAGAGTAAAAAATAAAAAGGATTGAATACAAGACTTTCTCAATAACTGTTATACTCATTCATTCTACCGTGAATATCTGTAATTGGAACGTCACATATACATACATTTTCTTTTAGTTTGCATGGAAAAGAGCTATGACGTTAAACTGATGAAAGCTCGATATAGCAACGAGTCGCAATAAAAGATATTTATACTCAGGTGCTCATAATACATTTCGCCATATTCAACCCGTTATTTCCCAAAAGGCTTGAGTACAATGCCACGTATAAAAAAATTAATGTATGGCCAATACTTCTACTATACATGCATATCGTTTACTGACAAGCAAAATATATTTCAGAGGGGTCAATTTCTTATATAACTTTACATATATACTATTTTCAAATCAATATGTACTATATACATACAATATATCGTATATCTCATGCCAAGTAGGACACCTGAATTTATCGCATTCGAGAGCGAGTGCCTCCCTCGATTTCGCGTCAAAATCTAATAATATCAGCCGGTGATCGACTAATTTTCCAGTTTTGACAGTTGTGTCACAAAAGTAAACAATTATTCGAAAATCCAGGGCAAAGCTATAAGAAATAATCACATCTATCGAACAACGTATTCTTATGTATGATAAATACTAAAATTATCAATAAGTTTCATTTAAATAATCAATTCATTGTTTGAATGTAAAAGGCTTATAATTGTAATAACCTATAACGGTAGGATATCAATGCTTTTCTTTCTCCCTATTTAGATTATCAAATTTCGTTTCAGTTTACTGTTGCATCTAAGAAAATAAATCACGATATCTTCATGTAATTCCATGTCACGAAGTACAAGAGATTCAATTCCAGAGTATTCCACGAGTTAGTATGAGCATTCTCGAGGTATGAAAAAATAGCATAGATCAAAACGGCCAATTTTCATTATTAGATTATAGATATTTTTATTTTCCATTTCGTGAATGACTTTGGACGAGATCTAGAAAAAAAGGTCTATTTAAAGGAAAAGTAAGGTTGAGAATTCCTACAGTGCGTCGAAGAGAGAAGTCAACGTCTTGGCATGCTTCTTCGAGTGTAAGGATGCTGGGGATATTCATACCATGTTATATATGATAGATCATTGTTCAGTTCGACTCTACAAGAATTAAAAAGAGAAATGCGATTTAGCGCAGTCCTGCATGTCAAAAGATTGTGAAATCGATGCTTCGTCGTAATTTCTAATAGTTAGACAGCATTTCTGGCTTTTCCTCGTGACTCGGGGATACTCATACTATTTCTTTGAATTTTCTGAAGCTGAATCCCTGAAAGACTCGAAATAGAAAATAGGTTAGCGAAATGCCTACACGTACTGAAATCTAAAACCGAATCCCTTGTGGATATTCTCTTATTATTCCATGGAACATTATGCATTTGAATTTCGTAAAATAATACGTTGAACCAGTCGGAGGTGACGTCTGAGGTTGTTATTTTTCCACCGAGAGAGTGTCTACCGGTTTACTTCGTGACATGCAATTACCTGGAGACACCACAGTTGAACTAAGAAGTTCAAGTAACTCTTAGAGAGTTACTGTAGCACGTAAGGCATGCTACCCTAAATGAAACGAAATTTGAT